TGTGAATAGGCTAGTCGGCTTTTGTCAACCATTTCAAATGTTTTAAATCGCATATTTCTTCAAAAAATTTTAGTAAGAGAGTAAATACATTTCTTTATTATAAGTAAATGTGTTGCAGCAATGCATCCAACCAAACATCTGGCCAATAGCAAGTCGGACGATAATCCTCACTTTTTTAAAGATGTGGCTCAGACCTTGAACCTAATCTATGGTGAGAGATCTGTCAGTGGCATACGTACTATTTTGGAGGATCCAGAATCACTCCGGGGAAGTAGAAATAATATAAAATCCTGGGAGTCTAAAAAACGAGATGATCACATCGTCTCAAGTCAGTACGTTACGAGCGTGTCTTCATCGGCTTCCCTTAAGGTCAAAAAACGTTTCGTTAAGCCGAAAGTGCCAAAGGCCCTCAATTCTAGGTCCATAGCCGAGAATGTTGTTCGAAAATTGATTGGCCACCAAGATCTCAACAACATTCTTCTATTTATTACTCCAATGTCGACGTCTGACCATCTCAATTGCTATAAGCTACACAGCTACTGCCTAGACAACCAACGACACCTTGGAGCAACTACCGTGACCTCCGAGGAGCTGGAGCTTATTGAACGCTATCACAGCACGGATAACTACTCGATTGTATATTGTACGTATCATATCGACCTGGCGGACGCTGCAAGGAATGCCTCCATCAAGACAAAAATTTTTGAGACAGTTCGGGAACAATCTCAGTTTCCAAATCAGACCTTGTATCAGGGCAATACCGTCAGCCTGTTTTACCGATGCGTCATCCCGAAACAAAAGTTAGCTGGCATGCAATCCCTTAAACAGTCCATGATACCAGTACACATGCACCGTCAATTTCCAAGCGTCGATAAAAGTTTGAAAACAGAGCATCGCTTCGATCTGAAGATGATACGTCCTAAAAGTAGATCTGACCAAAAGAAGCAAACCAAAAGATCCAAAAGTGCTTTTTCTAGGTACAGTCGTCGCGCAGTGCCTGACATCCTTAAAGCCAATATCACCGTATTAAAGAAGACGAGTGTATTGTCGTCATTTGTAAAAGCACCCCTTTTGTGTAAAAGTCTTCCCTTTAAACACCCTCGTAAAAACAAGGTAAGGTGTGGACTTTTAGAACGAAGCGAGGAGGTGACTCTACCAAAAACAGCACTCACAAATTCTATAGTTATGGTAGATGTACAGAAGAGTGCCCAATCTTCGGAAGTCGTAAGGAATGACTCTCAAAATGAGGGCATTAACCGGAATCAAAATGAAGTACAAATGTTATTGGAGCCGAATGAACTGCGGTACTCGGTAGGTCAAATTCCACTGCCACCTATGATACCAAGCATCAAATCTATTGAGTCGTTGATCCATAAGACCTCGGCTTTCTTCGCTTGTTTAACAGGTCCTGCTTCGGTGCCGTCAATCTACTCACTCGACGCATGCCTTCAGCTGGAGCAGAAACTGCGCAACCTTAGCGTTAAGCAAGCATTCTCAAAGTTCGGGCGACTGGTCGAGCGAATCAACGAGCACACTTGCCCACACCACGAGCATTTGATAACGTTTTTCCAATTCGCTGAAATACTTGACTTCAAGATGTTTGTGAGACGGGAGTACACCTTTTTAGACTGCATTTCGAACACGGAACCACGATATCGGATTGAGTGCTACGTTTTCGATGATCGCAGAGACTATATAACATCAATAGCCCTACTCTGCCGTCAGTTTTACAAGTATGCGAAACTCGGTCCCAGAGCGACTTGCAACTTTAGGTTCATTGACACTGCCTTCGAAATGACTCACATGCCCACAATGTTGACCGGCTGGCTGAAATCGGCTCTTAATGCAATTCACGCTCGACCGCTCTACAATCTTCTGGGAGAGCTATCCTACGAATGCATTCAGCCACCATCAACTCTGTTGGAACTCACCACTGATCTCAAATCGACCAAGAAATGAATTTTTGTAATTTTACGCTACAAATTATTTTTAATAAGATATCTAATATAATCCTAAAACCGATAAAGCAGTGAGTTCGATTTCCGTCAGTCCCACAGCCGAAGCCATTAGAGCAAAGATGCTGAAAAAATTTAATATCCCGACCCCATACTTTATACATGTATATTCCTGATCAGGATCACTACCCAGATGACCTAGCCATGTCCGTATGTCTACAAGAGCTAAAATTTGGGTTTAAGCATGCAGATAAAAAGCCTCCCTGTTTCGTAGTGCCAAGTTCATTCTCGACTATAGCGTACTCCCTTGTTATACGCGTTACTCGTAGATTAATATGGTATATTAGATTAGTATGTAATAGGTAGATGGAAGCATTTCCCACCCTATAAAACAGATATATTTTTGATCAGGAACACTAAGCGAGTCGAACTAACCATGTCCGTCCGTATGAACGCTGAGATGTGGAAAACTATAACAGCATGGTATCACTCCCACTCTAACGCCCATAACGCAAAACCTGTCTAGCCCCTACAATTTTAAATATTATCGTAATAGCTAGTAAATGGGTATACTAGATTCGTCGGAAAGTATGTAACAGGTAGACGGATGGGTTTAAGACTCTATAAAGTATGTATATTCTTAATCAGGATCACTAGCCGAGTCTATATAGCCATGCCCGTCTGTTGGTCTATCCATATGCATGACCGCTGAGATATCGGAAACTATTATAGCTAGAAAGTTAGGACTTAGCATTTCAGATAGAGCGTTGGTATTTAAGATTAAGATTCCTTTGCTTCGTACGCAGCGCAAGTTTGTCACGCTGATGAGCCACGCCCATTTCGCCCACAAGCCGCGGAAAACTGGCGCCCACAGTTTTGAAGCTAGAAAAACAAATTTAACTGAAATGTATTTGGTCTCGTCAATACCTATCGATTGACTTTAAAAAATTGTCCACCGCCACTCTAACGCCCACAAACCTTCCAAGAGAAGCAATGACGTCAGAGCCAGAAAATAACAAACGTATTTATGCATGAGTGTGTGTAAATAGTTGCAGCCAAGTCGTAAGTTCGGGAACGCATTCCAAAAAAAATGTTTCTAGGTTGCATTTTTTTACACAAAACGACAAAAATTTTAGAACGCATTTTTTCTACGTAAAGCGAAACGTACGATCATTTTCCAAGGCAAATGTGCGTGCTAAGTGCATTGCATTGCGATGCTTTCTAGATGTGTTTAAATATGATGCATCCTGGTTCATTTTGCTGAGATACCCAAAGGTTGCCAATGGCATGCAATGAAGCGCGTGGTTTTTCTCGACAGTTTAACTTTTAATTCTGAAAAGTGAAGTTCGTGCCACGTGTTTTGAAAAATGTTGTTGTTCACAGGTAAGTTAAGTGTAATTGTGCCAAAATAAATAAGTACTTAGCCTCACCGCCCGATGGCGTCACTATCGCAAGGGAAATTTACTATCGTATAGTACATTCTCGTAGACGGCTACTGTCGAAAATTCAGCCGAATCGGACTCGTAGTTTGGTTTTGACTGTGTGTGGAATCGGACGTGTCCGCGGATTTTAGAAAAATGGAGAAAGAGCAATATCGGTCTGTTATTCGATTCTGGTTTTTGAAAGGGAAATCGCGCAGCGAAATCAAAGAGCGCTTGGATGCTGTGTACGGCGACTCTTCTCCTTCGATGGCGACCGTCAAAAATTGGTTAAACGAGTTTCAACATGGTCGCACGTCGGTTTTTGATATTCTCCAGATTTGGTGTGACTTCTTTTTGTTTCCAAACTTGAAAAAGTCACTCGCTGGACAGAAATTTGCCTCGAATGAGGAGGTCGTCGCCGCCACAGAGGCCTATTTTGCAGACCTCGAGAAAACGTATGTTTCAGACGGGTTAAAGAAGTTGGAGCATCGCTGGGTCAAGTGTATCGAGCTAAAAGGAGATTATGTTGAGAAATAAACCGCCACTTTTCCAAAATTTTAGTTTTTTATTTGGAGGCTAAGTACTTATCGGACCACCCTAGTATATACAAATGTATATAAATATGTAATATTAAATTTTCTTTATATATTTCAGAATAACAAAAATGGGATGGGCTGGACTGCGTAAATTGTAAAAGTACAAAATTAAGAAGCAAGCAGCAAAACCCCTGAAGGGGAGTGAATCCAATTAACAGTTAGTTGCGTTCTTGAATTTTGAAATAAAAAAAATATGAAATTAAAAACCTGAAAACCCTAAAGACATTTATTTTTTGAAAGCGTATACGTGCATTCCTGGGTACAGTTTAAATTAAATGCATACAGAATGTACCTTTTTGATCCATATAGGTACATTCCTTTTACAGCTTACAGGCGTATTCTAAATGAATGCATACAGAATGTACCTTTTGGGTGCATACAGACTCCAAGTATATGCACCTAGGTGCATGCATTAGATGCGTTCTTTTTTGTCCCGCACCCGTAGAAATAGAAATTAAAGAGTCATCACTCTCGGCACAGGTCTTTGGTGTCATTTCATAATGAAAGAACAGGTACTGGAATGCAGTCATTTCCGACTGGGGGCCGAACTGCGCGACAAAGCTTTGCAAAGCGAAAAGCGCTACCTGTGCTAATAGAGAGCAGAGGCTAAGCAATTTGGCCTTTTGGTCTACCCCTCTATCACTCCAATAAACTCAATACCAATTTCAATTATCTTATTCCGAATATGTTAATGTAAACTTTTAATTGCTGAAAAAATTGAAAAAATTCTGACCTGTAGTAAATTCACATAAGCCACATAACCCAGTGTTGAAAAGCACTAGAAGGCAGTAAAAGGAGCGAAAATTTGTGCAGTAACAGCGCAGTAAATCTTTCTGTTTTCCCATTAGTCTACGACTAACTCTCGTTTGGCGAAATCCGTGTGAATAATGCGTTTTGGCGAATCTTCGAAGCGTATTCCTATTTTCAATTTAAAAGCTGAGTAACGGGTATCTGATGGTCGAGACAATCGACTATAGCGTTCTCTCTTGTTTAAATCTAAATAATTTTGTATATTGTTTTATCTTTAGATACCACCATCAGTAGACAAGAAAGTCTTTCAGTTGAGCTACCGTGTCCCGTTAATGTAGATAAGTGCGGAAAACTCCATTCACTTAATTGGTTTAAGGGCGATGATCGCATTGCTGCAATGCTCCTTGGAGAAAGTAATGTAACCAGTGTTGATAAGGAATTTGACAAAAGGTACGAGTATAAAATCAAGTTAACTTAATTAAATTTGTTTCTTTTTATAGGGTAACTGTTAAGCAAAACCCATACAGTCTAGTTATAAAAGACTTGAAAATAGCCGATGAAGATATTTATCTATGTGATACTACATTTTTTATACCAGAAGAAACGTGTGATAACTTCAATGGATATCGAATCGAATTGAGAGTCTTAGGTAAATGTAGAAAATGTTTATTATAATCAATGGTTTATTGCATGACGAATTTGCTTCTTATGTTGTATTAATTTTCCCTTTATGATTATATAATTTGTTTTTGCTTGTATGCTACCTTTAGTACTCACCCATCTTGAACAATCTACAAAATAAAAATCTACGTAATACGATAATAATTTTATCCAAATCTAGTCAGATAGAGAACTTAAAAGAAGGTATGCCAAGCCAAAGTTTATTTACCCTTGCAGCTTAAACCTCGTCAAGCAATCAAATCATACGTGTATTACAGAAACCATGTATTAGGAAGATTCTTATATAAATATATCGAAAGTTCCTAGGACAACTTTGTATATGACTGGTCGTCCGATTTATCTTACAAAATCCCAAGTTCTGAAATCTGAAAACAATGCTATATGCTTAAACGATAAGAAGGAAATTATGAAAAACAATAATGCCATCGTTTTTATACCCTTGCAGAGGGTATAATGATTTACAACCCAATGAAGCATCAATATTCTTAATCAGCATCACTAGACGAGTCAATCTAGCCATGTCCGCCCGACCGTCTCTCCATTTCTACGCAAGCTAATCTCTCAGTTTTAAAGCTATCGGGATGAAACCTCTAATAGGAATGATCAAAATATATTTGTAAAAAAATATAAAAATATGACATATAGACTTCTATTTTTTGGAATATCATTCTTTTAATACTACAAAATTTCGGATACATTTTTAAAAAAAATGTAATCATATAGCTGCCATAGGAACGATCTGATATTTAAGGTCAAAATAATACAAAGAAATCTATATTTCGGTTTTCGGTAAACATATGCACATATAGATTTTTGTTTTCTAAAAATCGGAAAGCTCTGTATATACAATGCAGGAACGACCTGCAAGGGTATAGAAACTTCGTCTTGCAGAAGTTAGATTCCTTTCTTGTTTTTCATATTATTTTCTTATTCATTTACTGTCGTCCTAGTCGTCCGATTAAAAAGCGCAAAAGAAAGTCTACCTCAGACTAGAAGAAATAGTGATTAAAAACAGTGAAGCTAGAATTAATTATGTAATTTTTCCGATCATTCCCATGGGAGCTAAAGGATATAACTTCCGAATCGCTTTGTCACGACTTATAACAGAAATAAGACTTTTGAAAAAGTTTCATCCCGATAGCCTTAAAGCTGATAGACAAGTCTAAGTAGAAAAGAACATATGGACAAGGCTAGATCTTCAATGGAAATGGCTGCTTTACTGCCCTGCAAACTTCTGACTGAAATCATAATACTTTCTGTAAGGGTAAACAATTTCAGAGCTATAGCTGGACTCCCCGACCCGAATTGGGATTTCAGACTTAGATTCCGTAGCCTTGTACGCAGCGCAAGTTTGTTACGCGAACACGCCACCCTCACACTAACGCTAGATAAAAAATTTTAACTGAAGTGTAACAGGTTCGTCAATACATATCGATTGATCCAAAAAAAGTTTGCACGTCCACAAACCCCCCGAATCTGTGAGGCCCGCAATTTTCATGCTAGAAACAAAATTGTACACGTTTTGTATTAGTATAATCAATATCAATCTATTGACCAAAAAAAGTTTGCCACGCCCACTCTGACGCCCATATCGCTTAAATCTGTCTGCCGCCCACATAACCATATATTGAGATAGCGGGTAGGGTGCGCACTACAATCTCGCTTTGCTGTTTGCATAAATGAGACTAACAATAAGTGTATCAAATCTTAACAAAATAACTATAAACGAACTAAAAATCATGTAGACTGACATTAGACTAAATGGACCTGATAACTATTGCTGGGCTGATAGATCGTTTCGAAGTAGACGGGTTTTGTTCGATACCAGTGCTAAATTCCTTGCGAGATTATTTGGGTGCAGTGTAAGTTTCCTATGGTAAGCCGACTTTTGTATTGATATTTCATCTTTAACCGGCTGCATGCCAAGCTCCCTGTGGATGTTTTCGTTCCGCACATACCATGGTGCCTCAGTGATTGAAATTGTAGAGCAGAACCTTGAGGTCCAGACACAGAGGTGATCGAGAATTTATAAGCTAGTGTGGGCTGCTAGCTCTAAGTTTAACATGTATTTCCTCCAGGTTATACGTCTGTCAAGGTGGATTCCGAGATATGTTACATCGTTTGCTTGGGGATCTGCGTACTGCCTAAAGCTAGCGGGGGGCAGATTGTCTGTTAAGAGTAAACGTTTTATGTTTACACTTTTGATCATAAACTTTGTATTCGCCACTTCCCAACTACCACCAGATGATCCGAAGGTTGGGCTGTTACTCTAGTTGGGCATCTCGAGCCTAATTAGCCTTTTGTTTGTAGGAATATCTGCTGTGTACAGGATAAACATAGTAGGACCCAGTACGCTACCTTGTGGAACTCCAGCTTCAGTGGTGTACTAGTTGGATGTTTTTGCATTGCATCTCACCGCGAAGACCCTGTGAAAGAGGTACGACTCAAGTAATTTATGAGTGTTTTCTGACAGAAATGTTTTGATTTTATGCATAAGGCCTTCAAGCCAAACTGGGTCAATAGCACTATCGGTGTTTTCAAATTTTGTGCTTTTTTCGATATCAAAATAACTTAATTTTTTACGTTGTTTTAGGTATTTTTAAAAGAAAAAACAATTTTTTTGTTGATTAGAACACGATATGCTGCTTGGGTAGGGGCCAGAGGTATCTGTACACCTTATACACCGTATGAACCCTAAGATCTCGGAAACTGTAAGAGCCCGAATGTTGGGACTTGGCATGTAGGTTCTTGGGTTTCCTACGCAGTCCAAGTTTGTTGTGCCCACCTAATGCCCACATTTTTTAGTATTTGTAATAATTTGAATGAGGTTTTGTTTTTATTATCAACACCTATTCCACTTACAATAGTTCTAATATCAATTTGGTGACAAAAATGCTAGTAAATTCCAATGCTTTCATTCTGCCCGCTTCGTCAAAATATTTATGCTTCTAAGCATACAACGGCATATTCTATTGCAGCGTGCCGAGTAAGAACATTTTTAAAAGTCTATTTATTTAACAGAACTTACAAGCATTTTTCGTTACAAAATTAATATCAAAACTTTTGTAAGTTACTGTGCGATCGTCACGACCTGTTACCTCGTTAATACTTGTTTTTATTTGATATCATAAGTTTTGGCTTTAAAAATCAGTTATAAAACAGGAAATATACTCACATTTACTGTAAAATAAATATATATGTATATATCCGATGGCGACGTTATCAAAATATTTTTGAGAAATTTGTGTCATCAAATTAATGATGGATAGTTTTGGTTATTCAAGGTAAGCGTGAAGTGTTTTTCGTACTGAACTGATTCGGTAAGTTTAGGAATCTCAAGGGCTATTTAGTTTAAAATTTAAAAATAAATCGCTCGATCCAATTAAAAGAAAATAGACAACAAGTTTGAGAAAAAACTGTTTGCTATTAATTTAAATTTATTGTATTAGAGAATTTTAGCACAGGCATCGTGAATAGCATATTGAATTACTTTTAATATTAAGCTATTTTTTTGGTATCCCGCTAAACTAGCGTGTTTTTCCAAAAGTCGTAGAACAAATGTTTTCTCTCTCGAGTTTCTTAATACACCCATATAATCCCTAAGTCCCTTGAACGAAAGAGTATTTATACAAGCCCACAAACAAAGGGAAGAACATTTTCATTTTGGAAAGTCCCTCAAAATCTTGTTTTTGGAATAACTTTTGAATGGAGCATTGTATATTAACAGTTGTCATTCGACGCGTATTCTCAGTAAGAATAAAACTTATACGTGGCATTTATGCCCATCAGCCACAACAGCTCCAATTTTCTAAATTTTCACTTTCACTCTTTTTCTAAACTAATTAATCAATCTTTTTAGTTTTCGCAATACCTTTCAAATGGTGTATTACTCGCTGTGATCAGACAATTCTTGGAGATTTTTAGTTCTGCGGCTATATAAAGAGGTCGCCTTCGCACACTCTCCTGGTGCGCGTTCGGATCTACGTGGACTGCTGTCCACAGTGATAATTGTTATACCCGTTACTCGTAGAGTAAAAGGGTATACTAGATTCGTCGGAAAGTATGTAACAGGCAGAAGGAAGCGTTTCCGACCCCATAAAGTATATATATTCTTGATCAGGATCACTAGCCGAGTCGATCTAGCCATGTCCGTCTGTCCGTCTGTCCGTCTGTCCGTCTGTCCGTCTGTCCGTCTGTCCGTCTGTCCGTCTGTCCGTCTGTCCGTATGAACGCTGAGATCTCGGAAACTATGAGAGTTACAATACTGGGATTAGGCACGCAGATTCCTGAGATTCCTGCGCAGCGCAAGTTTGTTTCAGTAGAGTGCCACGCCCACTCTAACGCCCACAAACCGCCCAAAACTGTGGCTCCTACAGTTTTGATGCTAGATAGAAAATTTTAACTGAAATGTAATGTTCTCATCAATACCTATCGATTGACCCAAAAAAAAATTTGCCACGCCCACTTTAACGCCACAACCGCAAAACCTGTGACGCCACAATTTTCATGCTAGATAAAAATTTTAACTGAAATGTATTGGTCTCGTCAATACTATCGATTGATCAAAAAAAATTTGCCACGCCACTTAACGCCACAAACCGCAAAACCTGTGACGCCACAATTTTCATGCTAGATAAAAAATTTAACTGAAATGTATTGGTCTCGTCAATACTATCGATTGATCCAAAAAAAATTTGCCACGCCACTCTAACGCCATAACGCTTAAATCTGTATACCGCCGGTAGGTGGCGCATTTTAATCTCGCTTTGCTGCTTGCATATCTCCATTTAGCTGAGTAACGGTATCTGATAGTCGAGGTACTCGACTATAGCGTTCTCCTTGTTTTCTTAAGCAATTGTTATTTTTTCTATATTTTAGAAAAGTAATTTTTTGATATATATGTACCAAATACTGTGACATACACCAATATTTGGTATATAAATACCAACTGCAGCCTTCCTTATTGTTTTTTCAGAAACTCCATTTCTTTGCTAAACCGGTAACTACTGCCAACTAATTTCAATTCTGAAATATGGGACCTATGTATTTTGTTATAAATTTCCATAATTACCCAGTCTTCCGTCTGGTTAGATGGTTTTAGCCATTCTACATGTCCTTTTTTTTACAAAACGCCTACACCCAAAAAAAAATCGCCCTTAATTCAAGAAATTCGCCGTTAAATCAAGAAAATCGCCAATGATTTTCATTCAACGGCAAATGCCTTTATTTAAAAAAAATAATTTTCTTGAATTTATGGTTTGCCATTTCTGGAAATAATGACAAATTTTTCTTAAAAACCCTAAAGTTAAAAATAATTTTCTTAAAATAAGAAAACAATTTTTTATAATGTAAGATTACCTTTTTCACATTTGAGGAATTTGGTTGGTTTTGTATAACAATTTTGGATTTTAAATGGATAAAACCGTTTCTAATTTGAATAGCAATTATTACATGGGAATATAGTCTATAAATTTTTGTGTATACCTGAATTTATTAAGGATTTATCATATATAAATACTTTTTATAAACATATAAACAACAAATGGAAAAATCCTTACTTCAGACAACACCGGCATGAACTCGAACCCGCAACTGCTCACACCAAAGCCAGACGTCTTAACCATTCGCCCACGCTTCTTGTCATACAATGACTAAAGAGGGCTATGGTGTTTTTGGTTCAGCTTTACTCATACCAATAAAGTTTATTCTAATCTAAACGTTTCCACAAACGTTTAAGCAACTTGGTAATTAGAAAAGTGAAACTAACAAAAATAAAAATTAAATAAATTAAAAAAAAAAGTAAAAATAAATAAAGAAAGTGCACCCGTCGTGGCGTGGGCTCGAACCAGGTACTTTTGTACGATTATTTATTGACCGGACGTCTTTACCAGCTAGACCACCATCAAAATGTATAAAAAAAGTAACTTTTCCCTGAAAATTATTAAAATTAAAATTAAATTCTATAATCAAGAAAATATTTCTTAATTCAAGAAAATATTTCTTAATTCAATGGCGTTTTAAAATCACGGTCGATTTTCTAATATTTATGGTGGTTATTTTTTTGAGTGTATAAAAGCCCTAACCATAAAAATATTACTAATAATATTAACATTATTAATTAAATTTTGGTTGGAACTGGGATCTCGCTTGAAAAAGTTTATACTTCCAATATCTACTCAAACATCGGACCACAATTAAGTAAGTTACCAAAGTACCTAAACATAAAAGGTGGTTCCCGTGACGACATGCTTTGCATCATTAAATCATTTTTTTCTCAGGGTAAAGTTTATTAGGAAAAATATTGGTTTCGTTCTTTCTCCCGGTAGAAAATGTTGTATGTTAACTGCCTGTTTAAAAAATTGCGATACTCTTTCCGCTATGTCTTTGCCACCCAACCTCTTTACCTTTAACAATTAATTCTCTTTCTCTTTCTTTCATTTTTACATACACACGCGTCAAAACTCATTAAAATAAACAAATCGCCTCTACATGAAAACTACTAAAAAAATATGAATTACTACATATTGATATCATTAACATAATGCTAAAAAACTCCGATAACACATGAACCATATACCACTGCAAAAATACAAAACACCTATTCCCTGTCCAACAATTAATAATCGTTTTAAACATTTCATCCTAATTCATTTAACTATAAATACACATGAATTAAATTTACCTAACATTTATTTCCTGTTAAAAATATATATTTTTGTTGAATTCATTCACAAATATTATTGATCATATACGTGATAACAACCTAGAAAACATTGGTAAATAAATAAATTTTCAGCACGTTTAGTTTTAAGAGAAATTTCAATGGACAAAATAAAAAAACTTGTTGAATCAGTTAAAAAAATATTATTTGTAAGAGTGATTGTTTACTAACGAAATATTAAAAAATGTAATTTACTCAAGAAATAAATCATTTCCATTAAAATTTTTAACTTATTTATAACTATTTTTAAGGGATCATTTTAAAATATTCCACAGTAATTATATAATTTGATTTTGTTGATAACCCAATTACAAATATTTATCCTTTTAAAATTATACGGCAATCACACACAAACAACACAAATCGGCAAATAAATAAAAATACTCGTATTTAGTGCCACCTACTGAGGTTGTTATTTTGGATGCAAAAGGCGATCGAATCGAGAACGGCAGCTCAGTTGGGCCCATGCAGGAACGCCAGTCCCTGAAAGCAACATGTACCGTAAAGAACACACGCCCTCAACCAGAAGTCGGCTGGTTCCGTGGGACCAAGAGACTAACAACTTGTGAGTATTAAAATTTTATGAATGGGTTTCAATGATTAAATATTTATTAGAACACAAATGAACATGACTTATGTTCTTGTTCTCGAGTCCCTAAGCTAAAGATTATATACAGGGGTGTCACAAAAACCGGCGTCGGATTTGGGATCGGTTGGTGTGGAAACCAACCCATCAAATCCGTAGGTGTCACAGAAATTCGAGCGATTTCTTTTTTTCGGAATAATTACCGAAAAATGACTAGGGCTGGATACATACACTGAATACCGAATATTGAATAATTATCGAATTTTTTTTGAGTTATTTTGAATATTTTCCAATAAGTTTTAATTTATGTTTTTTTGCAAAATAACAAAGAGAATACTTGTTTAAAGTTCATATTGTACAAAATACAAGAAAAAAATGAAAATTTGAATTGTAGCCTGTACTGCAGCCCTGAACAGCCCTCAAAATACGGGGAACTTAGAAACCGTCAAAATTTACGTCTGTGATACCGAGATTTTCTTTTCGGGGGAAATTCGGTTGGAAGGGATTTCTGTGACACCCCCGATAAACTTGTAAAATCGAACGTGTTTTCTTGACACCTTAAATTTATTTGAACGAGATAGAAGTTTGGTTGCGAAGGGCAACCTCAGTAACCGTAACAATTACCGCAGTTTCGATTTCAAAACCTCAAAGTTCTCATCGAAGCGAGTCAATTTGAGGATGCATTGAGTAAGCTTTCGTTCGGGTATTATAGTGACTTAACTATTTGAATTAAAACTTGATTTACAAGGGCAGTATTTTTCTTACCAAATATAAACCACTTCTTTCCAAACAGAAAATTTTAAGCTTTGGACTCAAAAATCTAAAATATACAAAGCATTTGATATTAACACACTATGAAACGCACAATTAATTTATTGAAAAAAATTCAGGTAGGAAAAAAGGTAGTAAAGCTTCTTTTCTACCTGAATTTTTTTCAATAAAGTTATTGTATATAATAATTTAATTTATAATTTATTGTATATTGTATATAGTATATAATATAAGCCGTTTTGTATAAAAATATACCTATATTTCTGATTTAAAAATCTTAAGAAACTAATCTAAACCTGTCTTACAATCTTCAAATAACCTTTTGCAATACAATCAAAATTTAAAATCTTACTTTTGAATTCTACAGATTCTCCCACTCATGACTTGAACAATGGCCTTTATACCTCAACACTCGAGTTGGACTGGCCGTTGTCCCGCGAAGATCTTGCTCAGGACATTGAATGTCGCGTGAAGTCTGCTGCCATACCAAATACAACTGTAACAAAATTTAGGGTGGACTTGCAAGGTATTCGATTAAAATAGGACTGCGACTAATAGTTCTCATAGTTATCTTAAATAAGCTTTAAATTTATTTTTATTTTAACATTTAATTTCATTCTTGTACCAAAACTATGTATTTTATTTTTTATCCAACAGTTCGTCCAACAAGTATCGATATAAATGGAGTAAAACACCATACAGTGCAAGGCAGCAAAGTGGTTTTAACATGCGATGTGAGTATTGACTCTAAGGTATTTAGCAGTCTTGTTCTTATGAGAAATGTTGTCCAGTTTGATTTTAACTTTAAGTCCATACTGTTATATAAGGATAACACTGGAAAACAAAATGGGCTTTAAATTATGTTATTATAGACGTATACAGATATGCTTATGATCTGTACACGGTTCTTCGAGGGTCGATAGTCAATTTTTTTTAACGCATGCTAATAAATTGCTGTGATTGCGGAAAGTAAGAATTTATAGTATTTTTTGTTATATTTCGTTTCCTGTAAACATATACGGTAGTCAGTTAAAATGTAACATTATCTTTTAATTTCAGTAATTAGTTTTTAGTTTTTTAAAAATCGGAAAGCTCTTCGTCTTTCCTTTCTTGTGTAAATAACGATTTCACAATACCAATACTAACCGTTAGCATCAACCACTTAGGATGCAGATACGCTTATATACGTCCATTTTAAAATAATTTAATGAATGTAGTAATTATTTATCTACAGCCAAGCTTTCAGAAAAAAAATTTTCTTATACGATTACAGTATTATGTCTATTATAACGCCAAATTTTTGGTTTCATACATACATTTCATACATTTTTATCAACTTATTTTAAGTAAATGCGAACAAGACAGACATAAATAAATAAATGAGTTTAATTGTAAATGGTACCCGTTTCTTGTGCAGTAAAGGGATTGTATTGTATTCGAGGAAAGTATGAAGCAGGTAAAAGGAAGTGTTTCTGACACCATAAAGTGTACATATGTATACGAGTATGTCCGTCCGCAGTGATCTCGAAAAGTTAAAATTTTGGTATTACACCCAGAAAAAAATCGGTTGAAACGTTCAACAGTCAATTTCAAACGGGGTCAAAAGGTGCGCAAGCACGTTTGTTGAAAATTCATGAACGCTCGAAACCTTAGGGTATATTTCCGACCGAGTGCGGTCAGTGCAAGAACATTGCGGGCTTATCTTGAGAAATGCGAGGTTTTGGACGCATGGTAGAGATGTATTCAATTTCCGTACTTTTCTTTTGTTGTTGCTAGAATTTAATGTATTTTGGTTATTTTGTTGATGACAAAGAATTTATTTATTATTAGAAGCACATATGTATAAGCATATACACATTAGAAATAATAGTTTAATAAAACTTACAACTTACAAGCATATACACATTTAAAATAATAGTTTAATAAAACTTACAACTCACAAGCGACAGTTCGCGGACCTGATCCTGTTCTACCATATGTCAAAGGCGGACGCTCTAGCAGCTGGACCACCGAGAAAATTTTTTAAGTACAGACATTCGGGACACTAGACCTACATACGACGGTTGCGATCAAGAATGGTTTTATGGTTTTTCAAATATTTATACACTTTTGGATGCGCTCAAGTCAATTGTCAAAGCACTTTTTCCACTCCGATACCTCGACTATCAGATGCCCGTTTCTCAGCTAAAGGGACAAAAGAAAAATGGAGATATGAAAGCAGCAAGGCGAGATTGAAATGTGCCACCTACCCGCGATCTCAATATATGGTTATGTGGGCGGTAGAAAGATTTAAGCGTTATGGGCGTTAGAGTGGGCGTGGCAAACTTTTTTTTGGGTCAATCGATAAGTATTGACGTGACTAATAAATTTCAGTTAAAATTTTGATCCAAAAAAAATTTACCACGCTTACTCTAACGTTCATAACGCTTAAATCTGTCTGCCGCCGGTAGGTGGCGCATTTTAATCTCGCTTTGCTGCTTGCATATCTCCATTTCCTTTTGGTTCCTTTAGCTGAGTAACGGGTATCTGATAGTCGAGGTACTCGACTATAGCGTTCTTCCTTGTTTTTCTTTTTTATTTGAAATCTGAAAACTTTTTAAATACAATTTTATTATTAAGGAAATGTTAGATATTATTTTCAAAAATCTTACAGCTTACTCTTCATCGGTGCGTACTTGAACTTGGGACCTTTCGTCAAAAGTCCACGATTTTCCACGAGGGGGGAGGGGGGGTCGAGGTAAATGTCACGTGGACATAGTAAAAATTTAATTTTAACCTTTATGTTATTTATTCCACTTTTAAATTTACTATTTACCGTTTTTAAAAATCTCTATAGATATAATTTTTAATAAGAAAAAAAAAATTTTCAATGAAAAAGTCCACGTGGACAAAATGGGGGGGAGGGGGCGGGTTAGTTAAAAATCCACGATTGTCCACGAGGGGGGGAGGGGGGTACCAAAAGTGCTTAAAATTTGTCCCCTATGCCCTTTAATTCTTACGAATTCTCTTGATTTGTATTAATATTAAATATACTTAAGATAACCAAAGATTAACAAGTCAATTAATGTATAAAACTCTTTATTTCTAAATAGATTCACGGGGCTCGACCAGCTGTCAACCTTACGTGGTATAATTCAACTACCGTAATCAGTCCTAGTGAAAATGACATGACCGAAATTCGGATTAAATCGGTAAAAATAATGTTTTTAGAGCCTATGTTATCACTTAAGTTTTACATGTTTTTTATACAGTTTGAAAAAAATGATGGCACATATCATACTCAATCAGAGCTTATTTTTAATGCCACTCGTTTTGAGAACGACCGTGTTTTTCGATGTGAAGCTGAAAATGCTGTTTTGCAAATTAATCGAGAAAAACCAATTTCATCTGCACTTACCTTGGAAGTTTTATGTAAGTATTTAAAATAAGGAAATCTTATAAAAATGTACATACATCCAAAAAAGCATTGTTCTAGTTCCAAGGTCAAAAATAAATAATATTTTTTTAACGTACTCCTAACAAGAAGGGAAACAAACTTCGAAAAGCCGAAGGAAGAACGGTATAGTCGAGTGCCTCGACTATCAGATACCCTTTACTCAATTAAAGGGAGCGCAAGGAAGATGGAAATATGCAAGCAACAAAGGGCCTTTTTCAATATTGCAGGGAGCCACTTTGCGCCGATAACATTATTTGGTCAAACCTTCTTAATGATGGCCATATTTAAACAATTTGTAGATAGATATTAAAAAAACACATAACACCATTTACACTTTAAAGATGTGCGCGCCAAACATATTTCAGCGTTATAAGCGTTAGAGTGGCGTGGCAGACTTGAAGAAATCAATACACTTCAGTTAAAGTTTTTAATTCAGCGTTAAAACTGTGGGCGTCATAGTAGAGTAAAAGATAATATGTAAAACAAGGAAAAACACTATAGTCGAGTGCCTCGACTATCAGATACCCGTTACTAAGCTAAAGGGACCAAGGGGCAGCAAAGTGAGATTGTATAGGTGCGCGCACACTGATGCGGAGCGGCGTGGTTTTTACCGCCTAGAGAAGTTTGCATGGAATTAAATGCAAGCCCGCACAATGACGCGGCGCGTCACCGCGCGAATACTCGAGGGAGCATCCAAGTAGCGTTTGCCGCGCCGACATTTTCTATTCTCGGACTCTTTCGGCTTTTATCGGCAATCGTCGGAGCATCAGGTTTGGGCCGAAAACAGAGCAAACGAGCACAATTTTCTAATTTTTTCCGAAAGACTGTTTTGAGTGCACAAGTGAGAGCGGCTTTCATATCAATATACATAGGTATGTAAGTGCAACGTTATTTTATAAGAACAACCCTCGTAAAATGAAAAATAGATAGAGGAGGATAGCATTCTAGTGAACGTAACTGTGTGTCACTGTTCTTAAAAACTAAGAAGAATTCCTCTTAGGTTAGGGCTGTTGTCGGACTGTAGTTCGACACACTTAGACCTCTAATGGGACCATTGTGATCCCGCTTGATCTCGTTCTTTTTCCTTCTCTAGGGTCCCATAACTTATAAGTTTAAACCTGTGTTTAGCTGATCAGCAGGTCTTCCACCCGGAAGATTTAATAAAATCACTTGTTTTTAAAATTAATCCCAGATATTTCGGTAAGATCGTCGGTGAAGGGGTTTCCTAAGTGTTTTATTCTGAGTCTGCATAGGGCCGTTTTTATACCCGTTACTCGTAGAGTAAAAGGGTATACTAGATTCGTCGGAAAGTATGTAACAGGCAGAAGGAAGCGTTTCCGACCCCATAAAGTATATATATTCTTGATCAGGATCACTAGCCGAGTCGATCTAGCCATGTCCGTCTGTCCGTCTGTCCGTCTGTCCGTCTGTCTGTCCGGATGAACGCTGAGATCTCGGAAACTATGAGAGCTAGGCTATTGAGATTTGGCGTACAGATTCCTGAGCTTCCTACGCAGCGCAAGTTTGTTTCAGTAGACTGCCACGCCCACTCTAACGCCCACAAACCGCCCAAAACTGTAACTCCAACAGTTTTGATGCTAGATAAAAAATTTTAACTGAAATGTATTGTTCTCATCAATACCTATCGATTGACCTAAAAAAAAGTTTGCCACGCCCACTTAAACGCCCACAAACCGCGAAAACCTGTGACGCCCACAATTTGCATGCTACATAAAAAATTTTAATTTAAATGTATTGGTGTCGTCAATACCTATCGATTTATCCAAAAATAAATTTGCCTCGCCCACTCTAACGCCCATAACGCTTAAATCTGTCTACCGCCGGTAGGTGGCGCATTTTAATCTCGCTTTGCTGCTTGCATATCTCCATTTAGCTGAGTAACGGGTATCTGATAGTCGAGGTACTCGACTATAGCGTTCTTCCTTGTTTCTTCTTCATTCCTGCAGCTTCTACAGAAGTCATTTTTTGGGGCTTTTAGCCTGCCGGCATGTGTCCCAACGAGCCAGTGGCCTGTAAGAGCTCGAACTAGCATGCCACACTCTGTGCGGCTGAATTTGAGTATGTCCGAGGTTTTTTTATTGTTTATCACCGGCCATGTCTGGTAAGAGATACGACACAATGGATGTTGGCTAGTTTTTTTAAATAGTTTTTTATATTTTGCTTGCAAGTTACCAAGGGCATGCCGACATTCTCCTCTCCTGGGAGGAGAAGCATGATGGTGGCCTGCCTGGCTAACTCGTCCGCTATGTAATTGCCTACGATATCCCGGTGACCCGGAACACATATTAGGCTGATAGTAAACTGACTAGCCATCTCGTGGAGAGATCTGCGACAGTCTGCTATTGTACGGGAGTTGGTGTTTATCGAGTAGATCGATTTAATAGCCGCTTGGCTGTCACTATTGGGCTTTCCACTGCCCGGTGTCCCTCAGTCGAATAGCTGCCGATTTGGACCTTTCCATGCTGCTAAGTCCAGGCTAAGGAGGTTCAAGATCGCATTCAGCGCTTCATTCGGGGTGGTTCGAAGGGCTCCACTAATACACAAAGCCGTCAGTATGCATTGTTTGTGTAGAGCTGTCCACCACAGAGCCACTCCGTATAGTTGGATTGGCTTGACTACCGCTGTGTATATCCAGTTGACTATTCTAGGGGACATGCCCGATCTTAGCCCAAGTGCTTTTTTACAGGAGTAAAGTGCAATGGTCACCTTCTTGGTTCTCTCTTGGTTATTTAAGCCCCATTTGAGACGCATATCTAATACTAACCCCAATTATCTGGCGTGATCGCTAAAAGAGAGATATATTTGTGAATATAACAAGTTCCGTTTTTGAGGGATTTACCCCAAGTCCGTTCTCTATCGTCCATTCCGATAGTATTTTAAGTTTAGCGGTCATAAGATCGCAATGTGTTTGTGGATATTTTTCATTAAAGATGATGGCGACGTCGTCTGCGTATGCCACTACCTTACAACCTCCTTTTTCCAGAATCCGCAGTAGTTTATTTACAGCGATATTCCACAGGAGGAGTGATAGTACACCTCCTTGAGGGGTGCCTCTGTTCACTAGTCTAGTCTGGGTTGAGGTCCCTAGTGTGGCTGTGACCATTCTGCTTATCAGCAATTTATGGATCAACCCCACCATTGGCGGCTCAACCCCTAGCTCTGTGAGAGATTCTGTTTTAGCAATGAGAAGCACGTTATTGAAGGCTCCCTCTATGTCCAGGAAGGCGATCAGTGTGTGTTCCTTGATGCTGAATGGTTTCTCGATGCTGCTTACCACCAAGTGCAGCGCCGATTCGATTGACTTACCTTTGGTATAAGCGTGTTGTGCCTCTGATATTTGTGTCGGGTCGTTAGTGGCCCTTATGTGTAGGCTTATCATTCTTTTAAAGCTCTTTAGCAGGAATGATGTTAGGCTTATTGGCCTAAAATCATTTGCTGTGGTTTGGGTGGCCTTCCCTGCCTTGTGAATGAAAACCACCTTTGTTTCTTGCCATGCTGTTGGTAGTTCTCCTACCGCCAGGATGGATTGGAAAATTTTTTTCAACCAGTTTATGGCTATTTGTGTGTTATCCCGTCCGGTCCCGGCGATTTGTATGGTTTGAAACTATGAATGGACCATTTCATGTTGCGGTTTGATAGGAGTGGATCTATTTCGATTCCCTCTCCTGTTCCTCTTTCAGGTGGATGACCTGCTTGTTGGCTCCCCGGGAAGTGAGCGTCTAGGAGCAGGTCCAAGGACTCTTTACTGGAGTCTGACCAAGATCCATCTGCTTTTTGAAGATAGCCCAAAGGCGCGGCTGTCTTAGAGAGTATTTTCCTGAGCCTTGCGGCATCAGTTGTTTTTTCTATGTCAGAGCAGAAGGTCTGCCATGCCGTTCGTTTTGCTCTTCTAATGGCCTTTTTGTAAGAGGCTAGTTCAAACTTGTAGTTCAGCCAATTGGTGTCCTCATTTCCCGCTTTTGCTCTGTTAAACAGGCATCTGCAGTTGGTTCTGAGGATAGATAGTTGTTGGGTCCACCAGGGGGGTTTTTTCCTTCCTCTTGGTTTCTCTGTGGGGCATGCCACTTTGAAGGCAGTGTTGCATGCCTCTGTGAACTTGTATACTGTTTCGTCCAGCTCATGTGGGTTTGTGGTGCTTTCTGACGGTTCCATGGGGAGGATATTTGTCAGAACTTCTTTGTACCTGTGCCAGTCTGCTCGACTGGGGTTGGCGAAGCTGACCGGCAAGGGCGAATCAAGGGACAATACGGTTTCTATGAATCTATGGTCCGAGAAGGAGTGCTCGTCAGAGACTGCCCAGTTTTTGACTGCGCCTACGAGTGAATCTGATACCAAAGTTAGATCTATGATCGTTTGGCAAGCTTTAGTTATGAAAGTAGGGGCATTGCCCCTATTGCATAGGAATAGGTTCGAATTTAGAATAAAATCAAAAAGAGACTCACCTCTGTCGTTGTTGTTTGGGCAACCCCACTGGGTGTGATGGGCGTTGGCGTCACAGCCTATTACCAATCCGTTCTTGAGCTTTTCGCATTCCTCTGCCAGTCCTCTGACCAGCGCATCTGGGGGGTTTTCCTTCTCAAAGGCCAAATAGGCCTATAGAACCCTTAGAGAGCCACTTTGCAGCTCCAGGCTTACTGCGGTGTTGTCTCCGTTGCTGTAATGCAGGTTGTTGGCTAAGTGCAGGTTCGAATTTTAACTTCTTTGGGGTCAAGCAAAAGCTTGTATTCCTTTGTTTCTAGTCCAGCAACCTTGCTTCCCACTAGAATTCCACTTATAGTGCGTGTATTTCAAAACTAAGAAATATAAAAAATAATAAATATCACATAATTAAGACCGGAAGACTTCGCTTAAGTGTGCGTTCCTCGTGCCACGATGTGTTCTTCCCCGTTTTCTACTCTTGCCGCTTGCTTACTATCATTGGCTTTGATATCCTTGTGCCATCTGGCCACACCTTTGATGTATGTACATCCAAAACAGCCGACCTGGCCCAACTATAGCTATTCATACCAGGAACTATGTTTTACATTCGGCCATGAAACTACGAGTCTGACCCAGACGATGGTCCATCCTCTTTTTCGACTACGTACATCCATAGCTTCATATTATCTCAACAAGTCGACGTAACAACCGGTCCTTCAACTAGTGCGGCTTTTTTGACGTCATATCGTCCATTTCTCTTCACTTTGGTTACTGTATAAGGACCAAGAAACGAGCTAGCCAGCTTTTTCGCCGCCACAAATTGTGGTCGCTTTATGGCCCCCAGATTTCAAGACATTCGAGTTCACGGCTTTTTGAACTGAAGCAAAAACCTTATACCATTTGGGAGGATATTCTGCAGACAACTTCGCTACCATTGAAGTAATGATCCTGTATACGCGTTCAATTTGACCATTTCCTCTATCCATTCCTGTTGAATTCCAAACATGTCCAATTTCATTTTGTGTGACATGTTCCTGAAATTGATTTGATGTAAATGCCACGCCTCTGTCCCTTATGATCCGAATTCGGTGACCGAAGACTACCGACCATTCTCCCAACTTCTTCACTTTACTGTTCTCTCCATATGCAGAATCCAGAACTGCTGCTGCGAGGCATGTATAGTTTTCTGCAGAGCGAAGTGACCAACGTCGTTTGCTTCCTTTATAATTTCGTACTTTATAGACTTAGGTACAACCATAACATCATTTCCATCTTCCACTTTGAGTAGGTTACCTGCTTTAAGTGGAAAGTCTTTTCAAGAAAAGATAGGATGTATTTCACGTTCCTGGCCAGATTTTACTTTCTTCGACTGTGTGACCCAAGAATTGTGTCCTGAGCTCAGCTCAAACATTTCTTCTTTTGTAATAAAGTAAGTGTAACGACGACTAGACTCTTCAATTGGTACATGTAAGAAACTGTTTTCAAGATCCATGGCTGTGAACTATGTAGCTTGGAGCTTTTCTAGCACTTTATCCATTAATGTGACAGGGAAGATGTCTCTGTGTACCATCCTATTCAACTGACGGAAATCGATGCATATTCTGTTTGTGCCATTCATCTGCTTTACGATGACCACCCGACTTGCGAAGCTTCCCAGGCCTCGCAGTACGGCATAACTTTTTTCCAGCCTCACATCAAGCATTTTCTTAAAAACTGAATGGCATACAATTGATAAGTCCGCTCCTGTGTCCACAAGACACTGAATAGCAACTCCGTTCAGTGTGATTCCTTGAAAACGTTTTGATGACCTGGGGACAATCCCTGGATATGTGTCCAATACCATCACACTTAAAGCATTTGGTATCCGTCTTGCAGTCCTTCCTCAGGTGGTCCGTCCATCCACATTTAAAGCAACGACTGGCGCGGTTGGTCGCAGTGGACATGCTTTTCTTGACACCACTGTACTGCATGAGCTGGTTTTTTGACTGGCACTTTCGTTGGTATATCTCGAACTTCTCCTTTAGCTCTTGAAATCCCTTTCAGCTATACAAGTCAAATATCACGCGATGAGAGATTCTTTGTCAATTGAGCCCTGGGATGCCATATTTTTAATTATAAATAAATGTACTCCTGAAAACTCTCGTCCTTGTTCTTCTTCCTTTCTGCTAGTTTTGCGCTTCGCATTGTACGTTTGAATTCTCCCATTAGCACATTTAAGTTGATCAAACGTAATTACGACTTCCGATTCTGGGAACACCTTGGCCAACCTTACCATCTTTCCCCGTGGTTGCACATATTTCTGCTGATCAATAGGTCCGTACGCGTCAGCATTTTGTTCAAAATTATTAAGCCACAGCTCCACCGGAGTACTCTCTCCGTCAAAGTCTGAGACAATATTCGCGAAGTTTTCAGCTGAAATACTGGGTATGTTTCGATCTCTTCCATTTCGTCTGTCGATTTCGTCTGCATTAATTTTCAGTGTAAGCAGCTGAATTACTTGCACAAGACTTTCGTTACTCATTTCGTAAGAATTTTTATTTCTGTTTTCGTTTTCTATACGCACAATTTTCACCTCTGTCTCGTTGCGATTTTTTTGCGATCGTGTTACAACACCAATTCTTTCGCTGTACATCAAAAACAGCTGACCTGGTTGACGATAGCTATTCATACCTAGAACTATGTTTTACATACATTTCAGTTAAAGTGGGCGTGGCAAATTTTTTTTGGGTCAATCAACTGGTTATGACAAGACTATTACAAATTAGGTATCATTTGTTTTCTAGGATGAAAACTGTGGGCGTGGTATATTCGCGTAACAAACTTGCGCTGCGTACAAGGCTACGGAATTTAAATCTGTTATCCCAACTCTCTGTCTTTCATTGTTTCCCAGATATTCACGTTCATTCTGAAGATTTTTTCAAGTTTGTGGGCGGCTTTTTGGCGTTTGTTTTAATTATCAATACCTATCTACATGCAATAAATTATTAATATCGGACAAAAATATTAGAATCGGACCAGTCATTAAACATTTATAGCCAAATAATAATCAATATTTTGCAATTCAATCGAGATTGCAGACTACATGCAGCAGATAAGCTGTTTTTACTAATACGCCACCAAGACGCTATTGGCGCTGTAGGCCAAGTGGCACAATAGAAGAAAACAAGGAAGAACGCTATAGTCGAGTACCTCAACTATCAGATACCCGTTACTCAGCTAAATGGAGATACGCAAGCAGCAAAGCGAGATTAAAATGCGCCACCTACCGGCGGTATACAGATTTAAGCGTTATGGGCGTTAGAGTGGGTGTGGCAAATTTTTTTTTGGATCAATCGATAGGTATTGACGAGACCAATACATTTCAGTTAAAATTTTTTATCTAGCATGAAAATTGTGGGCGTCACAGGTTTTCGCGGTTTGTGGGCGTTAAAGTGGGCGTGGCAAACTTTTTTTTGGGTCAATCGATAGGTATTGATGAGAACAATACATTTCAGTTAAAATTTTTATTCTAGCATTAAAACTGTAGGAGCCACAGTTTTGGGCGGTTTGTGGGCGTTAGAGTGGGCGTGGCACTGTGCTGAAACAAACTTGCGCTGCGTAAGAAGCTCAGGAATCTGCACGCCAAATCTCAATAGCCTAGCTCCCATAGTTTCCGAGATCTCAGCGTTCATCCGGACAGACAGACGGACAGACGGACATGGCTAGATCGACTCGGCTAGTGATCCTGATCAAGAATATATATACTTTGTGGGGTCGGAAACGCTTCCTTCTGCCTGTTACATACTTTCCGACGAATCTAGTATACCCTTTTACTCTACGAGTAACGGGTATAACAAGAAAGAAAGTTAGCTTCGGCAAGCCGAAGCTTATATACCCTTGCAGCTATAATTATTAAATTTAAAAACACAAAAAATTATATTCCCAATAGTATAAGATAATATGTCAAAAAACACCGAAGCTATAATTTGTTTCATATTATTTTCCTACCAATTTTCCGATCGTTCCTATGGCAGCTATATGATATAGTATAGTATATAAAATTTAATTCAAAATTCAAAACTAATTAAAAAATGTTATTTCCAAGCTTAGGAGGTTATATGCTAAAAAACACCAAAGATATAATTTTTTTAAATTTTTTAGTCCGATTATTCCTATGGGAGCTATAAGATATAGTTGTCCGATCCGGCTGGTTCCGACTTATAAACTACCTGCAAAAGATATAAGACTTTTGGGAAAGTTTCAGCCCGATAGCTTTAAAACTGAGAGACTAGTTTGCGTAGAAACGGACGGACAGACGGACAGACGGACATGGCTAGATCGACTTGTCAAGAATATATATACTTTATGGGGTCGGAAACGTCTCCTTCACTGCGTTGCAAACTTCTGACTGAAATCAATATACCCTCTGCAAGGGTAAAAAGATAGGTTGCCATATATGCTAGGTGTGTTAGTGAAAAAAGCAAAGTTGCCTTAAGCATATTTCCATCCCTCTCGCATTCCCCTAAGCTGAGTAACGGGTTTTTAATAGTCGAGGCCATCGACTTTAGAATTTTCTCTTGTTTAATACTAAAACGGTTATTAAATGTCAAAGGAAAAAGGTCAGACGCTTACCCCTTTTTTATCGGTCCTGCATCTCTATCAGCTGAGAATGCATGAACACAAAAATTGGATTAACACAAACAGGGGCAAGCAATAGGACATGAGTCATAGTATAAACATATTAAATATTACAGTGTTTGTTTAGTAAATAATATATTCCTTTCATTTAAAACAGATCCCCCCGTTGTTAAAGTCAGTCCATCTGATATAATTACCAAAACAAGTGAAATAGTTCTTCTCAATTGTGAATATGTAGCGAATCCTGCATCTCTAACTCAAGTTGAATGGTAAGTAAACTTTGATAGCACTAAATTCCTTTGTTTTGGGTAGCCAAAAATAGCTATAATGGAAATGGAAGAATTATATAGTGTGTGGCCACCCGAAGTTTGTATGCTGACGAACGATTCGATATTTGACTTTAACTTTTCCAAAAATTTATATTTGTCAAAAGTTTTAAAAGCAGGATGTTTTTGACATCTATCAAGCATATTTTTGTACAATTTCGATTGTAACCCATTGTTTTTTCCAATTTTAAGTGTGGTAGGGTATAATGACGAACTATGAAATCACACTAAAACTCTATGCGATGTGGAATTTATATATTTTTTTTTCACTATATTTAAAAAAATTAACTTTACACTTAAAACAATGCTTTCGACTAGCATATTCCCGTTACTTATCTAAAGGGAGCAAAATGGAGATGTAAAGCGCCACCTACAGCGTTCACACGGATAGAAGGACAGACGGACATGGCTTTATTGTGTCGGAGACGCTTCCTTCTACTTTTTACATTCTTTATCCCGAATACAATATAACCTTTTAAAGAACGCTATAGTCGAGTATCTCGACTATCAGATACCCGTTACTCAGCCAAAGGGACCAAAGGGAAATGGAGATATGCAAACAGCAAAGCGAGATTGAAATGCGCCACCTACCCGTGATCTCAATATATGGTTATGTGGGCGGCAGACAGATTTAAGCGTTATGGGCGTTAGAGTGGGCGAGGCAAACTTTTTTTTGGGTCAATCGATAGGTATTGACGAGACTAATACATATAAGTTAAAATTTTGTATCTAGCATGAAAATGGTTGTCGCCACAGGTTTAGGCGGTTTGTAAACGTTAGCGTGGCATAATTGCGTAACAAACTTGCGCTGCGTACAAGGCGACGGAGTCTAAATCTGAAATCCCCATTCTCTATCTTTGGTAGTTTTCGAGATATCCGCGCTCATATTTACGATTTGTTAAAGTTTGTGGGCGGTTTGTGGGCTTTGCAAACTTTTTTTGGGTTAATCGATAGGTATTGATGAGAACAATACATTTCAGTTAAAAGTTTTATTCTGTATCAAAAATGTAAAAGCCACAGTTTTGGGCGGCTTGTGAGCGTTAAAGTGGGCGAGGCACCCTGCTTGCCCTGCGCAGGAAGCTCAGGAATCTGCATTCCAAATCGCAATAGCCTAGCTCTTATAGTTTCTGAGATCTCAGCGTTCATACGGACAATCAGACAGACGGACAGACGAACAGACGACGGACATGGCTAGATCAACTCGGTTAGTGACCCTGCTTGCCCTGCGCAGGAAGCTCAGGAATCTGCATGCCAAATCCCAATACCCTAGCTCTTATAGTTTCTGAGATCTCAGCGTTCATACGGACAGACAGACAGACGGACGAACAGATAGACGGACATGGCTAGATCGACTCGGTTAGTGATCCTGATCAAGAATATACGAGTATATATACTTTATGGGGTCGGAAACGCTTCCTTCTGCCTGTTACATACTTTCCACGAATCCAGTATACCCTTTTACTCTACGAGTAACGGGTATGAAAATATTTTCTATGTCGATGTTTTCTATAATCTGGCTTAGCCTGGCCTTTCTTGAAATAGGAATTTACTTTTTATTTAAGTGCGATCTCATTTTTGGGTCGATTTTTCTAGCATTTAGAAGTGTTGGAATCAGTGTATTTTGTTGGGAGGGGGTTACTTTGTAGGGGATGAATTTGATTTAGAAGAATAAATAAAGGTTTTACTTTTTTACAAACACCTTACTTTTAGCTTACAGTAGTATATTAAAAATGTAGGTATTCTTATTATACATAATATTTTTTAGCAGTTCTATTTATTTAAGTGTAGGATTTTTCATTTTACAAACAAATTCATCCTAGCAATCCTTTTCAGTTACTTTTAATAAGATACCCGTTGTTCAGCTTTTTTAAGGCAATACGTTGGCGTATAAGTTGGCGTGATACACACAAAAAAATTTGGTTGGTAATATTGACCAATGCAGACAAATTTGTACTATACAAAAATGTACTTTACTATTAGAACTGGTTGTATACGTATTTGTTTTTGCTTTGTTTACTATTTAAGAATTAACATTACTATGCTCACGTGATGTGTGTATTTTATTATTGCAATAGTAAAAAGATGATTAACCATCAAAAATTGTTATCCCAACGTTAGTCACCTTTAAGAAGAGGAATTTAAAAACTACCTATTTTATTTTGCTTAAACACTTTTTGACATATCTAAGAACTTATATAACATCTTTGTATATATTAAAGTATATATTTACTCTAAAAATATACATTAAACTAAAATCCGTGGATTCACTCCATTCTAACCTTTTATAGTTACATAACGATTTGTTATAGTATTCCATTCGTTTGAGTATTGCGTAAAAGTAACTACTTGATGGATGAAATAGACAATTCGGTGGTTGGGGACCGTTTTACTGTTATATTGTTCAATTTTACTAATCGATGTGCAAAACAAAGACATTTCAGGCATTTGTTCATTCAGATTACAATTATGCGATTACTCGTAATCACCAAGTAACAGCTCCGAAAAGATCTAGGATTTTGATGATACCTTTATTCTTAAAGTTTTTGTTATGCCCATTATTTGTAGAATAGCTCGTTTAAAAACATAACACAAGTTGTTTAAATCAAATTATGTGTCAAAAAGTTATAAGCTATTTCAATTTTCACCATCTTCCTCGCAATCCCTTCGCTAAGTAACTTATATAACTATAAGAATTCTCTCCTGCTCTCTACTTTTTTGATTACAGGTTTTTTGGAATTAATTTAAAGTTTTAATATATATATTTATAAGGACTTCAAGTAATAAGATTTGTTTTCCATTACCTATAGACTAATTATTAAAATTTATATATACTTCTTTTTCAGGTACCGCAATGATGATCTAGTAAATGTAAATGACTCGAGTCATTATAAGGGCGGCAATTCTGAAAATGTGGCTCTCGTTATTAGATCAACAGAAAGAGATGACATCGGAAATTATTCTTGTCAATTATCAAATACTATAGGAAAAGGAATTTCTGATCAAAAAATTAATCTTGACGTGCACTGTAAGATACTCTAACATTTTGGTATAAAATTAAAGTGAAATTAAGTTAATTTATATATTTTCTTTAGACGTCCCAAGCGTCGAGATCTTAATGATACCAGAGGGACCTGTAAAGGAAAGTGATGAATCAAATGTCACCCTTTTTTGCAATGTGTTAGATGCTAATCCCCTAGCTCTTACCAAAGTAAGGTGGTACGCCAACTCTACTCTTCTTAAGGAACTGCCAGACTGTGAAGAAACCAGAGTACGTAATTTTGTTACTCAGAAAACGAAAAATTATCCCTCACACTAAATTTAAAATTGTAAATTTTAAAGTTCGCTATGATATTACGTTTCCGACCCCCCTTATAAAGTATGTATATTCTTAATCTGGATCGCGAGCAGACTTGATCTAGTCATGTTCGTCTGTCTATCCGTCCTTATGTCTGTCCGTATGAACGCTGAAATATCGGTAAATAAACAATCTAGAATGTTAAAAAACAAAAAAATTCCTACGCAGTGCAATTTTTTTTCTGACAACAAACGCCCTAAACGCCGAAATCCGTGTGATTAATGATTTCGTTTGTCAATACACAGGAAGTAGTCTAACGGCGTCAAATGGTTTGCTGCCTGAGCAATAACGCAAATTTTGCTTATTGACGAAGTTATTTAAGCAAAAATAAGCCTCAGCGCTGAAGATATTTTTTCGATAAAAAACCGGATCAATTTACGAACATACGACGACACTGGTGCTCATGCGCTTTTAGTTCTTCCGTCAGCTTGATCCCATAAGAACGTAGACCCAGATCTTTTCGCAAAACTCGCCGTAACGACGTCACAGAGATGGCGAACGCTTGAGAAGAGAAATTCAAAAAGGGTAAGACAAAATATGGCGTCGTTTGCGTTGCAGCCAGTCCTCGGTGCCTCTCAAAAAAAAAATCAAGGAAGAACGCTACAGTCGAGTACCTTCACTATCAGATACCCTTTACTCAGCCAAAGGGACTAAAATGGGATGGAGATATGCGAGCAGCAAAGCGAGAATGGAATGCGCCATCTACCCTCGATCTCAATATATGTTTATGTGGGCGGTAGGACGACTTATTTGTTATGGGCGTTAGAGTGGGTGTGGCAATTGGGACAATCGATAGGTATTGACGAGACTAACAAATTTCAGTTAAAATTTTTTGGTAGCATGAAAATTGTGGGCGCCACAGGTTTGGGTGGTTTGTGGGCGTGGCATATTCGAGTAATAAACTTGCGATGCGTACAAGGCCACTACTTTTGATAGTTTCGGAGATATCAGCGTTCATATGTACGATTTTTATAAGTTTGTGGGCGGTTTCTGGTCGCAGACTTTTTTTAGGTCAATCGATAGGTATTGATGAAAAAAATTCTTTTCAGTTACAATTTGTATTCTGGCATTAAAACTGCAGGAGCCACAGTTTTGGGCGGTTTGTCGGCGTTAGAGTGGGCATGGCACACTGACGAAACAAACTTGCGCTGCGCAAGAAGCTCAGGAGTCTACATGCCAAATCCCAACTTTCTAGCTTTTGTAGTTTCCGAGATCTCAGTGTTCATACTGACGGACGGACGGACGGACGGACAGACGGACATGGGTAGATCGACTCGGCTAGTGATCCTGATAAAGAATATATATACGTTATGGGGTCGTAAACGCTTCCTTCTACCTGTTACATACTTTCCGACGAATCTAGTATCTTGGAGTCTTCTCGTCTCCGCAACCAATTTCGTTTATAAGTCTGCGCATCAGAATGGCCTCCTTGCAAGCTGATGATATCGCCATATACTCTGCATCGGTACTGCTAAGGGCGACACTTCGCTGCTTTTCAGATCGCCAAGAAATTGGACCTCCAGCTAGGAAGTAGGTGTACCCGGTATATGACTTCCTGTCGACTTTGTCACCGGCCCAATCCGCGTCTACGTATCCAAGAAAGGGTTGAACACACTGTCTGTAATGTTGCTTCATGTCCACTGTTGATGCCAGATACTTTAATACATGTTTGATACCGGCCAGATGTTCGGTATGTGGATCCTGATTCCGTTGAGTCAGTTTGAAAACGTAATGCAAAATGTACGGCCTGGTTGTAAGTGCAAGCCACATTAGCTCGCCAACAACAGACTGGTATAGAGTTGGATCAATCTTTTTGCACTGATTGCAAGTGCAAGCTACCTGGTATCCTGCATTCAGTGGTGTGGCAGCCTGTCTGCAATTTTCAATGACGTGTGCATGCAGTAGATCCTCTATATACTAAGAATGTCCCAGGGAAATTGCTCCCAGCTCTCCCTCACGCTCTATCTCCGTGCCCAAGAAAAGGTTTAGTGAGCCTTTGTCCACGAATTCGAAAGACTTTGAGATACTCGATTTCATTCTGAGCAGATCCTCTTTTGACTGACAGGCTACCAGGATGTCATCAACATATACCAGGATTAGCGAGAGGCTTCCCATTTCCAGTCTGCTTGTAAAGGTTCGTTCTCACAAGCAATGAAGCCGAGTTTAAGCAGGGTACTGTCAGGCATGGAATTCCATTCCCTTCTTGACTGCTTTAATCCGTATATCACCTTTATGAGAAGCAGACTTTTCCCAGGACGCCTCTGATCGATATACCCCTCCGGTTGCTTCATGTATACCATCTCACTAAGGTCGCTGTTTAAATACGCTGTTCATACGTCCATCTGATGCAGAAACAGACCGAGCTCTGCTGCTAAGGCCAATATGAAACGCACACTCTCCAGCCCTCAAACTGAAGAGAAAGTCTCATGATAGTTAACGCCTTACTGCTGGGAGCATCCTTTTGCAGTCACACGTGCCTTGAAACGTTCTATTTGGCCATCCTTGTCGCGCTTAACGTTGAATACCCATTTCCATCCGTTCGCACGCTGATTTCTAGGTAAATCTGCAATCTGCCAGGTTTGGTTTGCGAGAAGAGAATCGTATTCCCTTTGCATAGCATCACGCCATTCGGATGCATACGGACTGCTCATAACTTCTTTAAATGTTGCTGGTATCGGAACATCTTTTGACACTAAGGCACCAAGGATGTTGTACTGCTTTATATACTCCTTTCCTTTTGGTTGAAACTTGCTTCCTTTTCTTGGACTCTTGTCCAGAGCAACTGCAATAGAACCAAATACCTTTAGATGATTTATACAAGGTTTCTTACCAGTCCACGCTACTATTGGGGTCATCCAATTCACTGCGCTGGTTGGAGAACAATTTCGAAAGTAAACGAGCGAGATGACACTAAGTACATACCAGCGTTGCCAGAGTTCTATAACCGCATTTTATTTTCTACAAATACTATAAATAAATCACATGTAAAAAGTTCATTATAAAAAATTACGCTGTATTTTAGATCCACAGTCTTCTTCTTTTTTGAAACGAAACTTACTCGTTTATTCAACACAAAAATTAAAATTAAGTCACAATTCAATTAAAACGAAAATAAACAAGAAAGGAAGTTAACTTCGGCAAGCCGAAGTTTATATCCCTTGCAGTTATAATTATTAAATTTAAAAATACAAAAAATGATGTTCCCAATAGTGTAAGAAATATGTCAAAAGACACCGAAGCTATAATTTGTTTCATATAATTTTCTCACCAATTTTCCGAATGTTCCTATGGCAGCGTCCGATTTTGATAAAATTAAATTCGAAATTAAGAACTAATTAAAAAAACTTTTTTCCACGCGATCCGATCGTTCTTATGGTAGCTATACGATATAGTCGTCCGATTTTGATCAAATTGAGTTCGAAATTCAGAACTAATTAAAAAATGTTATTTCCAAGCGTAGGAGGTTTTATGTTAAAAAACACCGAAGCTATAATCTGTTTCATATAATTTTCCCATCAATTTTCCGATCGCTCCTATGGCAGCTATACGATATAGTCGTCCGATTTTGACAAAATAAATATCAAAACTCAGAACTAATTAAAAAATGTTATTTCCAAGCGTAGGAGGTTATATGATAAAAAACACCAATTTTCCGATCGTTCCTATGGCAGCTATATGATATAGTCGTCCGATTTTGATAAAATTTAATTCGAAATTCAAAACGAATTAAAAAATGTTATTTCCAAGCTTAGGAGGTTATATGTTAAAAACATCAAAGTTATAATTAAAAAAAATTTTTTTTCCCGATTATTCCTATGGAAGTTATAAGATATAGTTGTCCGATCCGGCTGGTTCCGACTTATATACTACCTGCAAAAGATATAAGACTTTTGGGAAAGTTTCAGCCCGATAGCTTTAAAACTGAGAGACTAGTTTGCGTAGAAACGGACGGACAGACGGACAGACGGACATGGCTAGATCGACTCGTCTAGTCAAGCTTATCAAGAAACATAATCAGAAACGTCTCCTTTACTGCGTTGCAAACTTCTGACTGAAATCAATATATCTTCTGCAAGGGTATAAAAACAACATCGAGTTCTACGCAAAAAATAAGAAAAAAGTAACATAATTAAAATTAAGACTAGATAAAATAAGATATAAGATATAATAAAAGCTCCGCTTTTCGCTAACAACAAGTCCAGCTTTACTGAACATCCTCTCACTCTCAGTAGAGGTGGCCGGAGTCATTTGATATCTGTTGAAAGAAGAAATTCAATTTTTAAGTTGGTTACCATGTGAATTGTTATTTTTTGTACCTTCCAATAATCCAAAGAGTTTTGGGCAGGCTCCAAATTACTCGCAGTTAAATATTGTTGCAAAGCTAATATGGAATCCACGCGACCGCTTTGAATTTTTTGAGCTTTGTTGGCTTGTAAAAAACTGAGTAATAGGTTGGACTCTGCTGTGGATTCTGGTGTTTGCGGGCTTGATGATGTTTAAATTTTTGTTGGAGCATTGATGTGCGACAGTTCCTCCTCTAACGATTTAACGACTTGGGTGGAACTAATGTATTCCAAAATCCCTCCTTCAATTGTGGTCCTTCGTGTTACGCTACGATTTTCATAGGGGACCCATCTTTTGTAGACCCCTTGAAGTATGTCATAACAGACATCTTGACCTACCTTAGTCTTGAGTTTAGTTTTCATGGCTGCCAGATTGTGTAAAATACCACAAACAACCGGAATCACAACGACACTGTCACAGAAGTACTCGAAGATGCGTGTACCGTTGCATTCTCATAAGGTGAAAGTATCACCTTGAAATCCTCCAGAATGGATATTTCATCAGATGTTAGCGTCATCAACCCTTTGGCCGTGTTTAGTAGCACACTTGCGATGGCAACCTTTGTGATCAAAATTCTGTCCATATAATAGACGCTGTTTCATCTTGTAGAACATTCTTGCTTTAAACTAAAGGACGTTCGCATTCCTGGGCCTCTTTAAAATTGGCATACGCAATTGTGCTACTTTTAAAAAAAGAAATGAGATGAAACATCGAACATCGAGGTTTTCAAATCTCGATGTTTCCCGAGTTCTGGAAAACATCGATGTATCGATACATCACCGATGTTTTTTCCAGCTCTATCTCGACTATAAGATACCCGCTACTCAGCTTAAGGGATCGCGAGAGGGATGGCAACTTTTTTTACTAACTCACCTATCCTATAGCGCCACCTAAGGGTGTGGCCGATAACGAGCTTTAAAAACGGTGTTTTATCAGACCAAATTCTTTCTATGAATATGCAAAAAAATCATTAATAATATCAATATTTACTTTATACTACCCGAAAATACTGAAGACCAGTCTGTATGGTAGAATTAAGAAAAAAAATGGAAAAAAAATAAATAAATTGCAACGCCCACGAATTAAAAGCTGCCAGAACGGCTAATTCTTATGAAAATAATGTATCTAAATCTTAAATTCTAAGTACTTGTATTTAATAATATTCCTACAACGACTTACTTACTCATATACATATCAGCTCGCACGATCTCAGTATATGGTCGACGTCCTCGTCTATCAAATACTCATTACAGTAGCAAATTGACTGCTCACACTTCGCAACAGCGTCAATTGACTTCATAAGCACTAGTAGAATATATATGAAGCAATATAACAGTATAGCTATCAAAATGTGGTCGCCAGAGCGAAAGATTCCGGTCTTGCAATCTGGCCCCTCCTAGGAAGCATAACTTTTTATTCAATGTTCGAATTTGAATCCTTTTTGGTATTCATAGCAGAATCAGCTAGTGATCCTGATCAAAAAAACATATACTTGTAGGGTCAGAAACGCTTACTTCAACCTGTTACATTATTTTCCGCGAACACAATATACGTATTTATTTACTCTACGAGTAATATTAAATTTCACTATAATTATTTTGTCATCTTCTGAGATTTGACCACAAATTCCGTGTCACTTTTGACGTGGAATGACCCTTTTCTACATTTTTACTCATACCTTCAACTTCGTACTTAATTTATGATACTAAAAGAATGATATTTTGTGCCTGACTCCCTCCCTTCTTCCTTGCCAATTTATTTATGCGCATTTGCCATAATATTTCTTTACTTACATCGTTAAACTTAAGTTTAAATATATAAGGATATATTTGTAACTTAATTGTATATATTTCAGGAAGATTTATGCCACATAGATCCAAGTAAACTTTTATTGGAGAGTATTGGACGTGGCTTCTTCTACAATTATTCCTGTGAAGGATTCAATTCTGCAGGCTGGGGTCCGCGCAGTGAAGACAAGGAACTTATGGTTGGTTTAAATTGCATTCAGTTTGCTATTTATTCTTATTTAATTGAAATCTAAATTTTCAATGTATATTTGTAATAGGTACATTACGAACCGGGACCTTCAACACTAACTCATTTTCCGTTAGTCGCTGTGAAAAAAAAGAGCGTGACTTTCTCGTGCTCGGTTGATGATCCCGGATATCCAGACACAAATAGGTTTGTAACACAGGCCAACCAGACTCACAAAAAGACAAGATCCCAACACGCACCTTTTATTGATTTCCACACCGTACAAGAACTGCAACCGCAAGAAGTCGGCATTGCTTTCGAAGCGCTGCTGCTAAATAAAAACCAAAAACCACTCCAATCCAATGCATCATCACAAATATCATTAGAAGCCAGCGCATCGCATTTAGCTCACGAAATTAAAGAAACTCATGCTCTAATTGATTTATATTTAAACCATTCCCATTGTACATTACTCACGCTCACCACCTACATGCTACAATCGCAATTCTTAACTCTTTACACGGGGGCACAACAAAAGTATGATTCGCTCGCCACCGCATCGTCCTATGCCCTTTACCGAAAAATGGGCAAATTTTCGTTTCTTGCTCAAATAGTTTCGAAACCCAACAGATATCGTTGGCTGCGTGGCGGTCGGGGTCCTCTGCAGGACATTGTGACGAAGGACTGGACGGTGGAGCCGGTTGGTCTAGATAGTCGGACGAATTATTCTTGCTTCGCATACAATGAAGGCGGCAGAGGAGTTATGGCTACAGTAAGCTTGGAGGTACACGCACCGCCATTTTTCATCAAAAACCTACCACCTTATACGGGAGTATTGCACTCCTCGCCCAATGCAACTTTGACCTGTCGAATTGAGTGTGTCCCGCGCTGTGAGATATCTTGGCAGAAGGACGGTGAGCCAATAGAGAAAAACGATACCCGTTATTTCGTTAAGGAAAAATACATGGAGGCATCCCCCGCCACAGGTGATTTTGAAAGCATGCTATCAGTTTTGGTAAGTAAAATATACTTGTGCATTTGACAAAAATTTAGTTAAATCAACTGAACTTTTAAATGTCCTCAACAACAATGATGCATTCTCATGATGCATTGTCCCCAACCTTGTAACATATCTGGTGTGAACCTTTATTGTTTACATTGTCAAAAATCGTTACTTATTTATAAAATTAATTTTTGAGCTACATAAGAATAGTTTAATAGTTATAAAAAATATTGATGAATACGCAACTCATTTTATATGGGCCTGCCATGCAAAACGAAATCTTTAAGTCCTGTTTTCTTTTCCTTTAGTTTTAAGTTACTCCTTATTTGTTTACATGATAAAGAGAGCAGTAGTGAGGAGATCGAGTTTTATGACGGCTCGTTTTAGAGGTAAATAATGGAATTCTTTTCCAGAAAATATGGTATTTTCTACAAAAAAACCACATTGTCGAACACAATATAATAGTAAAAACCATCGAATTGTCAATTGTAGCTTTTACGTAATACGTAAACGTAATAAGAGTTATGAAAAAAATTGGTATGTTTCTAAAAAAGGGTAGAGTAAACCGAACCCATAGATTGTAATTAAATAACTATTTTAATATTTACTCAACCCATAAAATATAAAAAGTGAATTGTTCTTATAGTCGGTATATACCTATGAAATTGATCAAATTATTAATTCAATTCATATATACGTCCCTGTAGCATGGTAATTTAAAGGCAAAATAAGAAAAGTAATTTTTAAATGTATGAGACGCTAGACCACGTTGGAAATTATTAAGAACACATTGAAGAACATTTTTAAAGTTATTGTTACACACTTTTGTTTGTAAGATTTTACGTTAGGATAACTTTTTGATAGCTTTGATAGTTAAAAAACAAGGAAGAACGCTATAGTCGAGTACCTCGACTATCAGATACCCGTTACTCAGCTAAATAGAGATATGCAAGTAGCAAAGCGAGATTAAAATGCGCCACCTACCGGCGGTATACAGATTTAAGCGTTATGGGCGTTAGAGTGGGCGTGGCAAATTTTTTTTTTTGACCAATCGATAAGTATTGACGAGACCAATACATTTCAGTTAAAATTTTTTATCTAGCATGAAAATTGTGCGCGCCACAGGTTTGCTCGGCTTGTGGGCGTTGTAGTGGGGTAATACAGAAAATGTATCCGTAACTATGCAAAAATTGTTTAACCATTAACAAAATATCTAGGAGGGGAAAAAAGGAAAAAAAAGAATGTCTACAAAAATTTCAATACAGTTTGACGAATAAGCTGTATAAGCTTTTTACGAGCTAAGAGATCTTATAGCACAGGTTGAATTAGTTCAGCCAGATTATAGTAAAAATTTAACAACAGACGCATCAGACGTCGCTATCGGGGCAGTACTAAGACAAGATAAAAAACTAGTTACTTTGATTTAAAAAACATTGAACAAAACGGAACAACTTTATGCCACAAATAAAAAGAATTGTTAGCCATCAACCCTTATCCTTCACAATTTCGGATAAAAATCCAAACGTATAAATGAAAAGATGGTATTCCTTCATAGAAAGTTTTACCCCTAAAATAACACCAGTTTACAAAAAAAAATTGACGAAATACGCCTTTCAGGAAACCTTTGTTTTCCGGTAAGACACATCTCCCTGATTAAGAAAAGGGCACTTAAAATATTTCTATGGTACCAATTTTTTTTAAAGTGTAAAAAACGTTTTTCGCACTTTTTTATTTTCTAACTCGAGTTGTGATAAACCCAATTCGGTCATTAAAGACTCATTTTACAGGTAATCGAATGCCTTTTAACTTTCTTATACACCTCATTGAGTTCCATTCATTAGTTTAAAAGCTACACTTCGTCAAAGTTGAAGAATTTGGAAAAAATGCAAAAACGCTGGCATAAATTGCTTCTTTAAAAATACACGCCTAAAAACCGAAATTAGTTTTATGTTGTTTTCTTGAAGGCTGAACCTTAACGGAGAATATGCGCTATTGATCACGACAATCCGTTGGTAAATCGATTTTTTACAGATTTTTAAACGTATATACCCAAGTTCAGTATTCGGGAGCAGAGGCCGTTAAACATTATTTTAAATTTTCAGTGTTGGGGAACGTAAGATTTTGGTGCAAGTAGCTATGCATAACGTCATCCAAATTGGTACCATAGAAAAAATTTTAAGTGCCCTTTTCTTAATCAGGGAGATGTATCTTACCGGAAAACAAAGGTTTCCTGAAAGGCGTATTTCATCAATTTTTTTTTGTAAACTGGTGTAATATACAAACCCGAAACAACAAATATTGTAGCCAATGCATTATCACGAATACAAATAAATAATATAACAAACAGCGATATAGTCTTTACTGAACAGTCAAACTCAGATAAAGACACAGCATTTTGTGTTAAACAAATTTCAACAACAATTTTTAAATGTTATTTAAATGTCGTTTGAATGATACAATACTTTTCTTAACCCATTCAGTACTTATTGAAAAGGACGAATTTGTGTGAAAATCTACTCTTTAAACTTTTTTCTCGTCTTGAAAACTTAAATTTTTTGATGCAAAAAGTTTCTTCAAACAAAAACAATAGTAGCTGCAAAAAGAATTTTTCAAAAATCATTTTGCTTATATTTTTTATGATTCATTTTTATGATAGGTTAAGAAATGTATTGTATAATTCATACGGCATTTAAATTACCTTTCCATTGATGCCAAAGTTTTCAAGAAGTAAGTTCAAATTATGAGTATATTTAACTTTTGTTTCGTCAAAATACTTATGCCGACCGGTGTATATTAAGAAAGTATCTACCACCGAACATAACGGTTGGAATTTATTGTAGCTTAGAAGTTTTATATCATATTCAAGTATCTTTAAAAATTATTTGTACTAACAAATTTCTTTATAAGCAAATATTTTTCAGGACGTAGAAAACGGTAAGAAGAAACGCACAATCGCACAAATTGACAAATAAATCAGTATCTTAAAAATAGAACAATTTTGAAGGAAAACAAGTATAGCAATTAAAATTCCAATTGGTAAAGCTCCAATACCAACTAACGAAGGAGAAAACTTACATATTGATATATACTAAGCGCAAAGTATAACTTTTATAACTTGTATAATAAATTAAACATACTGGAATTACCTTAACAATTTCCCCAAGCCAAAATACTTATGACCGATAATGAACCGAGCTTTACCTTGGCCCAATTTAAACCTTTTGCACAAAGGTGCTGATTAACTTTACACAACGCAGATCCGAGGCACAGTACCTCAAACGAACAGGATGAAAGGGCACATTCGACACTAACAGATTTAGCACGCTGCATAAAAAAGAATTTAATCTAACCGATTATTCTGAAATCGTTATAGAAGCCGCTCAGGAATATAATCAGAGTATTCATTTCACAACGAACCAAAAACCTTTTGACATTCATTATAATAAAATCGAGGACGAAAATGTTCCTCAAATATTGAAAAAAAAAGTGAAGAGAAAATGTTAGAAACAAATAATGGAAACAGAAAGGAAAATAATATCATGTAGGACAAGTAGTTTATGAAAAGAAATATGGAGAAAGAAATAAGCTTAAACCGAAGTATACAAATAGCTAAGAAAGTTATGCCTAATAAAATAATAATTAATAGTAGAAACAAAAATATACACAAAGATAATATTAAGGAAAAAAATTTTTTTTTAACATAGAGAAAATGGCTTTCCTTACACCTCTTTTATCAATCATAATATTGGCCAGTTAAGAAATATTTGATTACTCGAACCATGCATTTTTTCTGTTCAAGGATGTTTTTATACCCGTTACTCGTAGAGTAAAAGGGTATACTAGATTCGTCGGAAAGTATGTAACAGGCAGAAGGAAGCGTTTCCGACCCCACAAAGTATATATATTCTTGATCAGGATCACTAGCCGAGTCGATCTAGCCATGTCCGTCTGTCCGTCTGTCCGTCTGTCTGTCCGGATGAACGCTGAGATCTCGGAAACTATGAGAGCTAGGCTATTGAGATTTGGCGTGCAGATTCCTGAGCTTCTTACGCAGCGCAAGTTTGTTTCGGCACAGTGCCACGCCCACTCTAACGCCCACAAGCCGCCCAAAACTGTGGCTCCTACAGTTTTGATGCTAGAATAAAAATTTTAACTGAAATGTATTGTTCTCATCAATACCTATCGATTGACCCAAAAAAAAGTTTGCCACGCCCACTTTAACGCCCACAAACCGCGAAAACCTGTGACGCCCACAATTTTCATGCTCGATAAAAAATTTTAACTGAAATGTATTGGTCTCGTCAATACCTATCGATTGATCCAAAAAAAAATTTGCCACGCCCACTCTAACGCCCATAACGCTTAAATCTGTATACCGCCGGTAGGTGGCGCATTTTAATCTCGCTTTGCTGCTTGCATATCTCCATATAGCTGAGTAACGGGTATCTGATAGTCGAGGTACTCGACTATAGCGTTCTTCCTTGTTTCTTATGAATTATACAACGATTTGTTCCACGTAACTAATTTAAGTTTTTATAAAAAATTATAAATACAGAATCAAATAATTTAAAAAGGTATTCTAACAAAAGGTCACAATGGGAAATTAAATCCGATATAAAAGTAATCAAATTAATTTTGTCCCATTTAATATCAACAAGATCAAGAAGGGGAATACTAGAGTTAGGCACTATGTGGAAATGGTTAGCAGAAACTCCGGATCATGATGATTTCATTAAGGTACAAAATAAAATCAATAAAAAAAATCAAGAAAAATTCGTCATTAGTTAAAGAAAAACATGAGAATCTTCCTCATCTTCTTTACAAAAAAAAATATTACCGCGAAGTTCCGTAAATTTTAGAATTTTTTTATATAATCAGAAAAATATTTCTTAATTCAAGAAAATATTTCCTAATTGATTGGCGTTTTTAAACCAAGGGAGATTTTCTAATATTTATGGTGATTACTTTTTTGAGTGTAAAGGGACTAAAGGGAAATGGAGATATGCAAACAG